AAAGGCAAAAGGGAACATCCATGTTTATAAAATAGAATATTTTACTAACAAACTTGCCAAAACAGTATTTACTGGCTCTGAACGTTTTCCCTATATGTTATTCAGCTGGCACTGTTCACTAAAGGTGTTCTCATCTGGCAGGTAGTTTTGGATCCCTCAGACATCTTATTCTGAATAAAATTACTATTCTCAAAAAATAGAATCATAGAATGGTTAGAGTTGAAAGGGACCTTAGAGATCATTGCATTCCAACCCCCCTGCCATGGGCAGGGACACCTCCTGCTAGACCAGGTTGCCCAAAGCCCCATCCAGCCTGGCCTTGAACACCTCCAGGGATGGGGCATCCAGAACTTCCCTGGGCAACCTGTTCCAGTGCCTCACCACCCTCACAGTAAAGAATTTCTTTCTGGTATCTAATCTAAATCTCCCCTTTTCAATTTAAAACCATTACCCCTTGTCCTATCACTACACTCCCTGACAAAGAGTCCCTCTCCGGCTCTCCTGTAGCCCCTTCAGATATTGGAAGGCTGCTTTGAGGTCTCCCCAGAGCCTTCTCTTCTCCAGGCAGAACTCAGCCTGTCTTTGTAGGGGAGGTGCTCCTCAAATAAGCCACAAATAATGTGACTTTAGGATGCAGCTGGTAACCTGGTTTCAATAGAGACAGGAAAGTGCTGGCACCATTGCCAGAGGCATTGGTTAGATGTTCTGCAAGGTACTGCCTGCAGTTCTGGTAACCCCAGTGCAAAGGAATGGAATTCAAATTTGAGAAGTTGCTGAATGGTAAAGTAAAGGGAGAGACAATCTCGAGAGGAGATTAAAAGAGTTTTGTTGGTTGAGTGAAATGGAGGTAGGGAGGCAACGTGTCTCCCCTCTGTAGAAACACTTAGGAGGAACTATCAAGGATGAGTAATTCTTTCCGTTAAACGATAATACAGGTATGATATCAAATGCATACAAATTGCATAATAAACTTAGGCTGGAAAGTTACAAAAAGAGTTCTATTTAAAAAAAAAAGGAAAAAGAAAAAAGCATTCTGGAATAACTTTCCAAGTAGGATAGAGGCAATTTAAACTGCTCTTAGGTGGAGCTGGGAGGTGTGGAGACTGACTGCTGAGCTGAGAGTACAAGCTTGTGAGATCAGTGCTTTAGTATCTGGTTTGTTGATACCTACAGGGCAGACTGAGACAATGTCCAGCTGCTGCTTGTTGGTCACATCTGTTTGCCTAGTATTTAAGTGAAAGCAGATGCTTCCCTGATCTTCAGGAGCTCTGTGGATTGCCTGTGGGGGACAAGTAAGTTATTTCACCTGCCTTGGGTGGGGGAAGTGGAGGGTCAGGTCCATATTCCTCCTTGCTCCTTAAGCATGCCTGGAGAGGGCTTTCTGGTGCTCCTTGTGGAGTTGTGGGTTAATTTGCATTGTCAGGGGGAGCGGGAGCTGCCTCACCTTCTGCATGGGGTAGAACCCACAGTTCTAGTGGGAATTTCACCTGTATGGGAGAGGGAGAGTCAGTCAGATCTGAAGATATTGCAGAGACCTGGGACACTATCACTGCCTGTTGCATCTCTCTGTGGCACATTGTACTTGTGACTCCTGGCCTTTGTTGTATTTAAGGTCTATGAGGGTGTGGGGATGCTCTGCTCTGGGCCTGTGGAAAGCAAAATGTTCTTCAGACCTGTTCTGGAACAGGCATCATGTGGCTTATGCTGTTTCTTAAGGTACCTGCCATGTCTGAACTCAGAAGTGCTCCATGCAAATAAGGTCCTCTGGGGTTTGTTTAGTACGTCTGAACCATACGGTTGATCAGTTCCTTCTTGTATGCTGTCTTCAACCATTATCTCACAAAGTGTAGCACTAAGTATTGCTGGGGCTATTAGCCTACTGTGTATGAATGCTAATATTTCTCAACAAATTGACTGTATGCTGGGAAGGGCTTGGTATTAGGTCTGCTTCCAGACATGGCATCGTTACGTTGTGCTGCAAGCTGAGATCATTGCATTCCAACCCCCCTGCCATGGGCAGGGACACCTCCTGCTAGACCAGGTTGCCCAAAGCCCCATCCAGCCTGGCCTTGAACACCTCCAGGGATGGGGCATCCAGAACTTCCCTGGGCAACCTGTTCCAGTGCCTCACCACCCTCACAGTAAAGAATTTCTTTCTGGTATCTAATCTAAATCTCCCCTTTTCAATTTAAAACCATTACCCCTTGTCCTATCACTACACTCCCTGACAAAGAGTCCCTCTCCGGCTCTCCTGTAGCCCCTTCAGATATTGGAAGGCTGCTTTGAGGTCTCCCCAGAGCCTTCTCTTCTCCAGGCAGAACTCAGCCTGTCTTTGTAGGGGAGGTGCTCCTCAAATAAGCCACAAATAATGTGACTTTAGGATGCAGCTGGTAACCTGGTTTCAATAGAGACAGGAAAGTGCTGGCACCATTGCCAGAGGCATTGGTTAGATGTTCTGCAAGGTACTGCCTGCAGTTCTGGTGACCCCAGTGCAAAGGAATGGAATTCAAATTTGAGAAGTTGCTGAATGGTAAAGTAAAGGGAGAGACAATCTCGAGAGGAGATTAAAAGAGTTTTGTTGGTTGAGTGAAATGGAGGTAGGGAGGCAACGTGTCTCCCCTCTGTAGAAACACTTAGGAGGAACTATCAAGGATGAGTAATTCTTTCCGTTAAACGATAATACAGGTATGATATCAAATGCATACAAATTGCATAATAAACTTAGGCTGGAAAGTTACAAAAAGAGTTCTATTTAAAAAAAAAAGGAAAAAGAAAAAAGCATTCTGGAATAACTTTCCAAGTAGGATAGAGGCAATTTAAACTGCTCTTAGGTGGAGCTGGGAGGTGTGGAGACTGACTGCTGAGCTGAGAGTACAAGCTTGTGAGATCAGTGCTTTAGTATCTGGTTTGTTGATACCTACAGGGCAGACTGAGACAATGTCCAGCTGCTGCTTGTTGGTCACATCTGTTTGCCTAGTATTTAAGTGAAAGCAGATGCTTCCCTGATCTTCAGGAGCTCTGTGGATTGCCTGTGGGGGACAAGTAAGTTATTTCACCTGCCTTGGGTGGGGGAAGTGGAGGGTCAGGTCCATATTCCTCCTTGCTCCTTAAGCATGCCTGGAGAGGGCTTTCTGGTGCTCCTTGTGGAGTTGTGGGTTAATTTGCATTGTCAGGGGGAGCGGGAGCTGCCTCACCTTCTGCATGGGGTAGAACCCACAGTTCTAGTGGGAATTTCACCTGTATGGGAGAGGGAGAGTCAGTCAGATCTGAAGATATTGCAGAGACCTGGGACACTATCACTGCCTGTTGCATCTCTCTGTGGCACATTGTACTTGTGACTCCTGGCCTTTGTTGTATTTAAGGTCTATGAGGGTGTGGGGATGCTCTGCTCTGGGCCTGTGGAAAGCAAAATGTTCTTCAGACCTGTTCTGGAACAGGCATCATGTGGCTTATGCTGTTTCTTAAGGTACCTGCCATGTCTGAACTCAGAAGTGCTCCATGCAAATAAGGTCCTCTGGGGTTTGTTTAGTACGTCTGAACCATACGGTTGATCAGTTCCTTCTTGTATGCTGTCTTCAACCATTATCTCACAAAGTGTAGCACTAAGTATTGCTGGGGCTATTAGCCTACTGTGTATGAATGCTAATATTTCTCAACAAATTGACTGTATGCTGGGAAGGGCTTGGTATTAGGTCTGCTTCCAGACATGGCATCGTTACGTTGTGCTGCAAGCTGCCATGATGTGGCATGGACTTGCTAAATCGCCTCCAAGTGCCTTGGCTGATTGACTTTGACTTTGGACAAGTCACGTTAGCTGACTCGTACGCACCATTATGTTTCATTTTAAGCTTAAGTTTCTGAGTATGGGATTTAACTAAATTTTGCTGCCCTGTCATGCTGTATTTCGATAAAAGGCCTTAGCTTCTACTGAGCAGCGACAAGTTTTCTACTTCTGTGATTTCCATGTGAGCAGCAGAGAGGTTGTGTACATGCAGAGAATTAGTCCTGCAGATCTTCATGCTGTTTATAAGAACAGCAACAAGATTTGTGCTACTTGATGGGCTCTGAAAACCTATTAAACTACCTGATGGGCCTTAAAGAGTCACTTCTCTGCTCGTGGCCACCATGCTGTTGGTGTGGTCGCTAGCAGATGACCGCTCAACAGTAGCTTGATTAGGGGCACAATGAATCCCACTTCCTTCTCCAAATTGTTGCTTGTCTGTGACATAAGCGAGACTTTCCTCTGTCTTTTTTGGACTGATAACTCAGTTCTGTACTTTTAGGTTATTGCCTCTGACATTAACAGGGGCAAGGTGACAGTAAATGCTCCTTCATCTCCTTGCCAGCTAGTGCCTTGCAGAAACACAACTCCCTGTATGCTGAGGGCAGAGAGAAGCAACTGGGAGAAAGTTACATGGAGCCATTGGAGTAATATCTGAGTTAAAGTATATTAAGGCTCCTATCACACAGAATCCTTCTTGGGACTTAGGACCTGTCAATAACTATATAATTAGTACATGACACAAGAAGGAAAAACATTTTGAAACCTCTGTGGAATTAAAAATGAAAAGGGAATAAAATTCACATCAGTTATATTGTATCTGTCTCAAGGTTACTTCTTTTTAGGGCTCTAAGACCCTGTGGTCTCAGTGTTTAATGCTTTCTTCACTTTTTTTTTTTTTTTTTTTTTAGGGGAAGATTAGCACCCCAATCATTTCAAGAACAAAGTAATAGGGACGTGTCTTGGAAAATAAACTTCTCCAAAAGTAAAAGATTTTCTAACAAATTTACCAGCTCTACACAAGACTACAAATACAAATGTTTGGCTTAACACAGATTACTCATATCAATAATAACACAGAAAACCCCACTGATTCATATCTTCACTAAAGTTATTTAGGCGGCGGTCGGCCCCCCTTCCCGGGGGGCCCGCCCCCTTTTTTTTTTTTTTTTTTTTTTTTTTTTATTTTTTTTTTATTTTTTTTTTTTTTTTTTTTAAGGTGCTGATATTGTGCAGTGGCTTATGAAGAACCTCAGCATTGAGGATCCAGGTAAGGTGACCGTGACCACAGCTGGGGAGGAACAGCTACTCCATCTGTGTTGTGTGCACCATTAGACAGCAGATACTATTTTGCTGCAGTCTAAAATGCCAGTAAAACCACAAGGTTGATTTAAGCATTGGAGGGAAGGAGGAGGGAAAGAGATAAAAATCAACACCTTAATTAAGTCTAATGCCTTATGCTGCAACACACAGAAAGCACTTTGTAGGAGTCTTAGCCTGTCTGTGAAATTGTTGCTCCCTAACAAAGCCTCATTGATTTTAAGGTTGCTCCCAGACTTAGAAAAGAAGTTGGTGGAGGTGTGTGGTTAAGCAGGCAAAGGCAGTGACAGGTTTTCATTATGTGGAGAAAGGTAGCCATGACTTACAGGACATACTGGCCAAGGATGATGCAGACACCATTGTGGGATCAGATGATGGCTGCTAATTTGTCGCAGCAGATAGATAAATGGATAATCAGCCATAAACAGTGATCAGTGTATGGGTTCAGTTCAAATAGTTTACTCTTCAGAGAAACCAAAATTATTTTGGCAGTTAGCAACTATTGTGGGGGAGGAGGAGGGGAGGGAAGGAAAGATCTGCAGGTCCAGAAGTTTCTTTTCCTTTTCTGAAATGGGAAAAGATCCAGCATCTTTCCTCTCAATTTGTTTCTGCTGCCTACTGTCACAGTGTGAAAGCAGAGGTAGAGGCAGTGTTGTCTCACCCAGGGCATCCCAATACACACATCCCTTCTCATGAGTCCAGTCAAGTCCCAAATCTGAATTTCAGCTGCAGACAGTAGCTTTATTATCTGCCTGGGGGCACACGAGCAGCTGATGTGTATTTTGCAACTCTGAGAAAGTTGATGCAGCTTTTCACAGCTGACATTGGCTGAAAAATCTGTGCAGATGTACCTCTGCGGTGGTGAAGGTTGCCCTGACACACACTCCCCTTTACCTCAGCCACCATTTCCTCTAACAAATGGCAGTGCTGCAGTGTCAGGATTTGTCATTATGAGCAAACATCCTGCTAATGAGCTGGCGTTGCATGCGTTTGTCGGATCTGATGGAGGCAAGTGGGGTTCACTGATGGAACAGGCTTCTTGTCAGCTGTCACCTGTGGTGGATAATGTGCTTTGAATTGAATTTCAGACTCTAGAGCTGAACTAGTGTGCGACATTTTGCAAACATAAAACCAGCAGGTTAAACATTTGAGCAGTGTTTCATCTGTATTGTGAGGCTGATTTCTGCTCACCTGCCTTGTGTGGTTTGGTTGGAAGGTTTCAGGATGCAGTATGGGTACAGAGAGACGTGTGCTCCAAGTCTTTGTGCGAGCCACTGCCAGGGCTGCTGCTGAAAGCAGAAGAGTGTGCTGTGCACATCTTCCTGACGTATCCCTGCTGTTTTCTCTCTTTCACAGGGGAAGCAATACACTTGGGAAGTCTTATCGCTGCACAGGGATATGTCTTTCCGATCTCAGACCATGTCCTTACCCTGAAAGATGATGGGACATTCTATCGTTTCCAGGTTGGTGACCCCTCTGCCTTCCTTGTGGCCCCTTCTACTGCTCTTTATCACTAAGCACTCATTACGTCTATGAAGACAGGGATTGAGGCTATCTTGGCAGAGGCCTTATCCTTTCATAGAGATCTAGTTTTTTCTACTTTCCAACCCAGTTTTTACATAAATGAACCGATATGTCCTGTGATTATTTTTGATATGTGATTTCAACACTGTTGTGGTCAGAGTTGAACAAAACCAGGAGAAAGAAAATGACTTTCAGGTTCTAACCATGGCACAGAATTAGGTAGCCACCCTCCTGTGCAGAATGGACTAGGGCAAACTTTGGAGTTGGGTATTCGAGCTCTGGCATAGCAGAAAATTCAAAATTTTTATCCTCTCTTTGCTACAGACTGGTGTGGGAGGGGGCAAGCTTCAGGCTTTGGCTCTTTTACAGAGGATTTGTAACCTCGGCAGTCATCTCTATCCCTCAGTGTCCCTGTGCCTCCAGATGTGTGGAATTTTTAAAGCATCCTCCGCTTGAGTTCCATGCCCTTTCCAAAAACTGCTTCTGTCGACCTTCTAGATAACTGGGTATTTGTGCTCTAACAACTCCTTTTGGGCAGATTGTATAATTTTAAAAGAAGGAATAAGTTCAAACCTGGAGTCCTACTGCCTAATCCTGCTGGCTGAATTTGTATTTTTCTGTTACACCATCCCAGCCAGCTCCCTTATCTTTCCTGTGAGCTCTCTTCTGTTCATCCCCCCGTTTCTCCTTTATGTTTGTTTTCTCGTATTTAGTTGTTATTTGAAAAGCCTTTCCCCCTCTTTGCATCTGGTGTTGTAGCTGCTGTGCTCACTGTCCTACAGCTAATGTGGTATTGTGTTATCACACGAGACCAAGGGCACAGTGAACAAAGAAGCCCAGGAGATCACAGACCTCCCCTGTCTCTCCTCACCTTCAGCTTACCTGGCATCATTCGGGCTAAGATTTTTCATGACAGTTCCCTTGCTTTTCTAAAAGTCCGGTTCCTCCTGTCATGCAAAACTTGACAGAAGCAGGGCTCATACTGCTCATCCATTTAGTTGTATTTCTCTCTATTTTAAAAGAATGATGCCGTATAGAAGTTGTCCTGTGCAGTTCTTTGGAGCTAGGTTTCAAAAGCAGAGTATAATTTAATTTATTTTTGTTATTTTAAGCCTGTGTAAACCACAGCATCAAATTCTCTTGACTGCTTATTGGCTTTTCTTTCCCTTATCTTTTCCTACAACTTTTGCTTATTCTTTGCCTGTTGTCATTTCCTACAACAGTTGTCCTCAGCCTTTTCCTGTAAAAATAACCTGATAGAATCGTTTTTCTTTTCCATTATTCTCTTCTTGCCACTTTCTACCTCAACATCAGTCCCTCCTTTTAACAGTAGCTCATCATCTTGTGAAGTTCATAAGATATATATCAGTGAGGAGCATTGAACCCTGTATTGTTTGATCCCTCCATGTTTTCTCACTGTGCTTTGGTGCAAAGAATAGTCTTTGTGTGTATAACATCCTGTGCCCATTTGTGTCATTATATCAGTAACACAAAACCACGTTTTGTAATTTGTGTGATCACAGGGACATTATTTTTCATTCATGTTAAAACTGAAATACAGCCATGTGTAGGTAATATCTTGTAATTAATTGTAGCAACTGCAGTATGCAGACCTGGATAGAAAACAAAAGCAGTAAGCTTAGCAGGACTTCTGCTTTCGGAACAACTCTAATCGGCTGAGTTCTGACCTCTACCATCTGTTATATTTAAAAAGTAAATTGTTTTATAGGCTGCCAACCAACCTGGTAGCTGCTCCAAAAAAGCAAGTGGTGTGTAGCATATATAAAAGGCCATGAGGTTTTTCATGCTCCTAAAAAAATAATAATAAAAAAGTAACAATTCTGGGGGACTGAATTCCTGGCAAAAGAGGAGGTTCTGGGGTAGATGGTAAGAGGTCCACATTCAGATGACTAAAATGTCATCAGGATAATGGACATCCTCCTCAAGAGATGCTTGTATTACAGCATCTCTATTTTCCTGCGCTGAGGAACATTAAAGGTGATACCTTCCTGTAAAAGCTTCCTCATATTTACTGAGATCTGTGGCAGTGTGTTTCCCCTCAGGGCAGAGACTGGGCCGTAGAATTTGTGGTTCTTCTTTTGTACTTGTAATGTTTTTCTGCATCTGAATTGTTTTTCATCTCTTAAATTACAAAAATGCATATGTTGTTTCTTAGGCACCGTACTTTTGGCCTTCAAACTGCTGGGAGCCAGAAAACACAGATTATGGTGAGAGTATAATTACTTCATTGTAGAAAGTTAGTACAGAAAGTTTGTGATGGAAAAAAATTGTCTGTAAAATAATTACTGTTGGCCGTCTAAAGCCTTCATCAGCAAAATTTCTTGTCAGACTGCAGCACCAGAGGCAGACTTGTGCCCTTCTCAAATACATGAAGCAAAATCCCAGGTGTCTCAAACCCATGGAGTTGTAGCCATCCAGTTCAGTGGGGCCAGGGTTTTACCTACTGTTACCTCCGTTCTCCCATAGCTCTGTTCATCTCAGCAGGATTTATGGCGAGCAGAATACTGCTCCTTGGGAACCTTAAATAATACCAGTATTGCTTTTGTGGGAGAAGGTACTCTGATCTGTAGTTGAATCTGATATGTTGATCAATAAAGAGTTACCTCATCTGGGCACTCATCTGGCTGATCAATAAACCAGTATATAACTGACGGCAACCTATAGTTAAAGTTCTTTGATATATGATATCAGACTTATTTCTCCCATTTTTTTAAAATTACCAGCTGACAGCTGGCAAAAAAGAGAAGACTGAGCATGGTTTATGAGTTAATAAACTGCAACATGGTGTGTTAAACATGTGAGTGCCTGCAGACAGTGATAATACATAAAGAAAATATGTCAGTGTTGTTATCTTTAGCTGTCTGCATGCAATGTTGCTGTCTCTTCTGGAACTGCACTTCTTTCATAGTTAAAGGATAAAATCAATTGTTGCATCCTGGTGTGGCATAGGAAGAGGAAGTGAATCCCTGTGTGTACTCATAAAGCAGGAGCTTCTGGAAGTGCTTCTTTTGAAATATCTCATAATCTAAGATCAGTTTAGAACTCCTCCCTGAATAATCAGGGTTGGTTTTTTGGGTGGGTTGTTTTTTTTTTTTTTTCGTTCCCCAGCAATAGTTATTCATCATTATGGATTCTGGAAATCATTTGCTGGGGTGGAGAAGTAGCCTGCAATGGTGTCTGTCATGTGATAGTTCATTTGCAGCTCTCACCTGTGGGGAAGCTAGCATAGACTTACGTGTTTGTCCCAGGGAGGGAACTGCTTAGGAGAAAACATGATGCTGTTCATTATATGCAAAATAATTTCCAGATTTTACAGTCACCATATATAACTGTCCAAACCGTGCCAGATGTGTGTTCTGTAAATATCAGAATAACAACCTGAAGAGGAAATTTCTGGTTCTTTCTATAGCACCTGATAAATAACTGGTTTTCCGGTCAAATTGTTGCGCTGCAGGGGCATTGAGTGGAACAGTACACCTCAAAATAAAGGCCTATATGAGCTGACCCACAGCTGGACAAGCTGCAACTGCATTAGCTCTGAGCCCTGTAGTTGACAGATTTTCATCTGCCCCAGAAATCTCTAACATATGCTTATAATCAGTCTCTGCATATCAGAGGTCTGTACAGATGGAGTTCTTCCCAGGAAATAATCCCAAACTAGCAGTAGACCCAAATAAAACTGAAATCCCAGCAGCTCTTCATGCTTTTTCTATTTGCATGGATCCACTCACAGGACAGGAACTAACTTGCTAATGGCAGGTCACTGCCTCGCATGAAGAAATACTGTGCGATGACTGACTCTGGCTTTATTTGGTGTTGTAAATGGCTTACAGATGAAACTGAGATGAGTAAATACACATATATGTGAACTGATCAGCTCTGGTTACCATGCGTTATGTGAAGGTTAGAATTACAAGAATAGCATAGAGTATAATTACAAGAGTAGCATGGGTTGTTACATATATTTTTAAATAGAAGAATAGGTTTTCAATGGAAAAAAAATCTATGAAGGTGTCAGAAAATTGTATTTATCAGGAAGCCCAAACCCCATGGTTTTCAAAGAAAATCTCAAAAAGATTTATTTCAGTTTTATTCTGTGAAGGTGTCAGAAAATTGTATTTGTCAGGAAACCCAAACCCCATGGTTTTCAAAGAAAATCTCAAAAAGATTTATTTCAGTTTTATGTTGATGATGCTTTGCCTTCTGCTTAGCTCCAGTTTAATGTGCTGTTGGACAATAAATCCCTGGCCCTGCAGCATGAGAGAGGGCGAAACAGAAGGAAGCTCTAAAATTCACATCTAAATCCATGCCAAAATGAGAGCGCTGGACACTTCTCTTACCTAGTTTTGACCTTCTGTGTACCCAGGGAGTGCTGGGGACCTAGTGTTCCAGCCTGTGGTGGAAATGGGGTGAGCTGGCAGTCCAGCTGAGGCTTTCCCAGCACCCAGCCTGCGACTGGTTTGGTGTCATGCACTGGGCTCATCATGACCCGTAGAATCCCAAACCGCATCAGTTTCTGCAGTGTCTGCCTATGGTGAGATGCAAGAAGGCTTTTCTTAACAGGTTGAAACGTGTAGAATAAGTGGATGAAGCATATGAAAAAAATGCTAAGATCCTACTTTTAAGATCTGGCCGGCATTTCTGTTTTCATTTCAGTATCCTGATTTTCTTTTTTTCTTTTCTAAACTAAAAGGGGAAAAGAAGTGCAGGGCTGCTCAGTTTGGCAGGCATATTCCCAAAGTGCTGAGGGGAACAGGTTGCTAATGCTAAATCTTTTACCAGCCCCAGAAGCAATTGTGCCTTTCTCAGACGTCTTGTTAGGTCCTGGCATCTACTCTCAGCGCTTCTAAATGAGATGTCCCAGATGCTTATGGCCTCCGAGATTACAAGTGGGTGATGTCAGCTGGGTATTCAGCCCTCTCATCCCTTGCCTCGTGTTGCTTTCTCATGAGAACAAACAGTGCATGGACCACTTTTTTTTTTTCTTTTTTAAGATTTTGTACTAATAACCTGTCTATAATTGTTTTCCATTCTGTTTCTCCCTTTAGCCATCTATCTTTGCAAACGGACGATGCAGAACAAAGCTAGGCTGGAGCTGGCGGATTATGAAGCCGTAGGTACACTGCTGCTCGAGTTTAAAGCTGAGGGGCACGGGGGGAGAGAGCTTTGCTGGCCCATTTAATGCTGCCAGTTTGTGCCTTGGGGTCAGCCGTTACTCTGTCTCAATTTTTTAAGTTGTCAAAATTGTGTTGAGGTTGATCCTGAGACAACGTGAGCAATATGACTGGGAAATGTCCCTGGCTTTGCAGCATCTCCAGTTAAAGCATCTGCTGTACAGCCAGCCCTCCAAGATTGGGGAAATTACACAGAAGTTTACATTGGTTTCCTCTTTCCAGTTAACAGTTCCTGGTTTATATAGCAGATATTAACACACAAAAATGATGGCTTTCAGGTGCAGTTAACAGTTCCTGGTTTATATAGCAGATATTAACACACGAAGTGATGGCTTTCAGGTGCATTATTGGGCAATTAAATTGCTGATGACCCATCTAGTTGCGGACCTTAAAAGGAAAGTTTTCAGATATTAGACTTGCACTGTTTTCAATATGCCATATAAAAACTATAACTCAAGCTGTTATGAAATGATTATCCATAAAAATATCCTCAACCTTGGATTTAGATTGTGCAGGGTTTGGGTGGAGAGGAGTGGAAAGATGGAGGCAGGAGTAGCAGAGCTGGTGTGAGTGTAATGTTCTGACTTTTCTTTCTATTACATTGACTTTTTTTTGTTGTTGTTTACTAACTCAACAGTGTAACAGCTGAATTTCAAATGTGAAGTTTTTTGTTGGAGGGGTTGTTTACAAAGCTGGTTCTAGTAGACTTCTGTGTTTGTGTTTATTACAATTGAAAACATTTATATTGCATATATTTTAGGGGTTTTTTTCCCAAGTATGGACTTTTTCCTTCTTCCTTGCCTTCCACATTTTGGGACTTTTGTGCAGGTAGATGTATATACATGCCATTTTGTCCTTTCAGTGAAGAGAATGCAAAAATCACCATTTATCCAGTCCACCCTGGAAATGCATCTGGAGTTCCCAAGAGTTCTAATCTTGAAGTACAGGCAAAAAGGAAGGAATATAATAATCTGCATGCACTTACATATCCTTTTGCTGAGTTTTCTCTTCTGCATATTGTTGATTTCATTATTAAAACCATTAAAATTGCTCACAGCCAACCAATTAACTGTAAGTACTCTAAAGATCTATCATAAAGCAACAAAAGGCTGTTCAGCAGCACACACACTCCCACACACATGCAGCCAGGCTATGGCTAAGTACTTTTGCACATCGTTGTCTACTGAGAGTAGCAGTGCTCCGGTGATGGCAAATAATTAGATCTTGGCAGCCTCTCATTTTTCTTGTGAATATTGCATTGCACAATTAGAGATTGCCTCTGCATTCAAACTTTGCTCTCTTAATTAGAGACAATCAGATAAGAATGGCACCGACTCTTCCTCATCATTATGGGAGCTGAAGCAGCTCCAGCAATGGAGATGTAAGATGAGCACAAGTGAGAGAAACAGGAGTGGGAAGGAGCCCTGGGTATTTTGTACACATTTTTGGAGGCGTAGTATGAGAATGGAAACTCCAGGTCAGTGCTGATGCCTATGGAGAAGCAGAGAAAATCTCTACAAAGCATCTCAGGGGATGTCTTCTCATTTTTAGGTTCCGCTTGCAGCATTCATAGACAACCCCCAACCCCACATTTATACTGGCAGAGCAGGGGTCTTGATGATACGATTAAGCTTGCATAATTGCATTCCATTTTGTTTATAATTGACCAAACATAAGCACGATTCAAATATTGCTTTAATTGGTGATGTTTCATTGGCTTCAGCATATTTACTCCAGAGGGCACATGTGAACATAATTTAAAATAAAATTAAAAAAGAGAAACCCACAAAAAATTGGTTTTGCAGATAATTACAAGTAGTTCTTCCTTGTGACCACAGTTAAGAAAATCATCACAGTTCAGCACAGCTGTAAATCATTTGCTTAAACAGCTCTCTTCCGTGTATGCGGACTGAAACTCTTACATGGACTTGGTGGTAACAGGGACAAGCTTTATGCCTTCTGTTGTACATGAGTTTAAAGTAAGTAGTAGGAAGGTTTCTTCTAGCATTAAAATGCACGCACTTAAGTGCTTTCTTGAAATAAAGGGAATAGGCATAAAAAGAACAGCAGTAGAATTACTAGTGTTCATTTCAATGAAAATTTGCAACAGTTGAACCAGCTGTATTGGAGAAGAGCATCAGATGAATGGTCTCCTAGGCCTCCTGGTCAGGATGGGTGTGGATATGTGACTTTGGGGTGCCATTTGAGCCTGAAATTCTGGCCGTGTCCTGAGTTTGACCTTGAGCTGTGATGAAGTCACATCCACCTCCAAACGTTCAGATCACAGCGCGCTCTGATCACGGGTCTGGACCAGAGCTCTTACTTCAGATGTAGAGCGAGGCTGCATCTGGACCCAGTCTTTGCAGTTAGCGACGTTCATTGTTCAGACAAACAAGCTATTTCCTTTTATGAATCATCCTGGCAATCCCCAGCCTTCAGTGCTGTGCAGCTGCATGGTGCTCTCGGCGGTGAGCAGGACCGAGCAAAGCAAAGGATGCTCAGGCTTTGCACCTGAGCAAGAGCCTGGAGAGAAGAGAGTGGGGGGAGGAGGAAGGGAAAGTGGGGATGAGAGGGAAACGTGCAGGTGGCAGCCATCTGCTATCAGAAATGAAAGCCGTCAGCTTCACAAAGCTTCCCAGTGTTATCTTTTGGGAACAAGTCCATCACTGTTTTCATAGCAGAGCTCAGGCTGTGTTCATTGCACTCCATGACTTCTCCCTGACAGGGCCCTCTTGGCTGCAGATATGAGGGCTGGACCCCAGAAGGATGTTTTACAACCCTGCTTTGCCTGCAGCATAGTTCAGCTGAAACCAACACCTATTTCCATGTCTTGAATTTTCCACCTTCAAAAAAAACCCAAACAGCTGACATGCTAACTGTGATCTTAAGCAGTAGTTATAATTACAGGGATTGATTGTTCTTACTATTTTCATCTTTTGTCAGGAAAACTTAGCAAGACTTCAGAGAGCATTTGCAAGAAAGTGGGAATTCATCTTCATGCAAGCTGAGGCCCAAGTGAAGTGAGTAATCCTGGAGCACTAAACTGCACCAGCATCTAGAGCTGTGAAGGGAGGGGATTCTGTAAAGATAAAATTTCTCTGTCAACGTCTTTACTGTGACTAAGCTCAGAAGGTGTTGGTGAATTTTAATCACCAGCAGACTAGAAACAATAGAGAGCCAATTCTGAAGGTTTGTGCCAGAATCTGAAAGGTGGATATAATTATCTGTATATGGAAATGTTGGTCAGGAGCTCCGGAAACTGGATCCACCATGGGAGCTTGGGCAATTCACTTGCCTGTTCTACTTCTACTTTTGTGTAGTGTTTTTGTTTTGTATAAATGGAAAGAACAGAACCTTATCAAAGTATTTCTGAGTTTAAAAATACCGCCACCTTAAAGTGATTATAAGGGCGGTATTTACAATAGACTGGATTTGGTTTTCTCCTTTATACCGATCCCCCGTTGACTCCATTGTACCTCTGCTCTGTGCAGCCCGACTTGTGCTACTAAATTAGTGTGGAAAATTGGGTACCACTTACATGAAACTTACTCACATTTAGTGTTTGGGGTTTTCCTATTCTCTGCCCATAATTGAAATTTACATTTTTTTTTTCTCATTTCCCTTTGTGAAAAAGGTTTGAAACCTCTTAATGTTTTGAGCATATTTTCGTTATTGCTGCAAAACCTGTACGGTCCAGGGTGCCGAAACCTCCACCTGTCTGTTTCATGCATGTAGTTGTCACCTATAAAAAGAGAAGGTTAGTGAAGGTGGTACATGAGAACACCAGTACTGACACTCTGTACCCCTAGAAAGAATTTGCACTTTCAGCATTAGATGCTGAAAAGTTAAGGAACATAATTTCTTGAGGGTGTGTCTGAGGTGTATGTCTCTGTCTTTGATTAACTCTTTGGCATTTTGATTAATTCTTTACTTAATAATATTGTAATTATGCACTATTTAAGTATATAGTAATTATCCTCTAAATTACAAGGTAATTAAGGGATTACTTTTTTTCTGACCAGAATGCCAGTGTTGTGTTTGGAAGAGAAAATTAGAAGTTACAATAGCAGTTGTACTTTTAGTTTATTGCCAAGGTGAAAAACCAAAATAAAACCCAACCTGAAGTCAAAACAAAATTCTGCATTCCGTCTACAGCATACACTAAAGAGAAATGTAAATATCAGATTCTTTATGTGAACACTGTTGTTTATTTGTATTTTCTCCATTATGTTTTCTTTGAAGTAAGCATGGACTGGCCACTGTCAACTTTTTTTGTTGGCAAGTTTCAGCCAGTTTATGTCATGGTTCAGTCTTCAGGTTTCCAACAAGGCAGGGCTGGAATTCACAGGGTGATCCACAGCTCTGAATAAACTAGAAAGGAAAACCAAACAAAAATACCCGAAAACATTCCTTCTGCTTCTGCTTCACAACAAACCTTCAAGTTCTGCTTCACCTTCCATGTCTTCGTTTGCACACAAAATTTCCATTGCTCTGCCAACATGACTCAAAAACTGCAGCCACAGAGCATCTAACTGTGTTTCCCCCACCAGATGAAAAAGCAGAGGTTAAAATAAATTTCCCACCTTAATAGGAGAATCTCTTTTGACACATATCGGAGCAAACATCAGTGATATTTTGTTCATGGCACAGGGCCTTGCAAGTGGGACTGGGACATTTATGTACAAAATGTGTATTTCTGATTTTTTTTTGTTATGGGGTTAAAACCTTAGCTAGGAACTGTAACAAAGAAGAAAGTATTATTCGTATGTTGGCTCATATGTCTATGCTTTTGTTTTCAGAATTGACAGGAAAAAGGATAAAACAGAAAGAAAGATTTTGGACAGCCAGGAAAGAGCATTCTGGGATGTGCACAGGCCTGTGGTAAAGCTCTTTTTTTAATGATGAGACTTTCCAGGTTTTGACAGGAAAGTCTTAATACTAGTAAACACCATGCTGTTTATTGCATAAAGACATGACCTTCAAAGTCACCACGTGGATGTTGCTTGCAGTTCAAAACGAGCCCAGTGTCTACAAGCTTATTTTAGACATTCTAGGCGTGTGAATGTATGGAACTATTGATTAGGAAATGTATGATAAATGTGAAATTTTGAAGATTATTTACCGTGCATATAAAAGAAAAGCAGCTTACCCCGTTTGGCTCAGAATTCCTACAAAAAGCTCTCATCTTAGCTGAGAGATTTCCTTCTAGTGGCAAAGTTATGGATTTGATGCTGAGATGACAACTTTGGGTATATGCAGTCTCCTGTTTAGCAAGCATAATTGAGGGGACATAAACTTTAGGAAAGAGTTTTGGACAAGACCTAATTGTATGCTTTAGAAAGGTGAGGTATTGTGTGGGTTGTAAACAGAGGAGTAATACACTTATCATCTTTTTTCAGCCAGGCTGTGTGAACACCACAGAAATGGACATTAGAAAGTGTCGTCGTATGAAAAACCCACAGAAGGTGAAGAAGGTCAGTTTGAGTTTCTGGTTTTGTTTTGTTTTATGGGTTTTTTTTAAAGGCAAATCATGCTTGACACCTGCAGCAGATTAGAGTTTCCTAATAGGAACCAAAAAACGTGTTTTGCAAATATCAATTCTGTTTTGTTCAAATCTGTGAATTTAATATTCCTGTTCTACCAACAGAGGAGCACAGACCAGGTGACTGGTATAGCTGAGAAGGGCAATAAGGAGCTCTGTGTCACAGATGTCTACTGGCTCTGTGCTCCCATAAAATTAAAAGCAGTTGGCAAAAGTACCTAAATCCCATTTTCAGAAATTATTTGGGCACAGATTTATCAGAGCTGTTTACTTGTCTTAATAATTTCAAAGGCTGGATCATTAGCAACTTGCATGTCTTTGACTTCCAGCAAGTTTTAGGTCTTCCGTGTACATATTAGTTTTGGAGGTGACACCAGACTCCTGAACTTCCATGGGAAGTTAAATTGTGGTAGAGCTATTCAAACATCTCTTATGAATGTTAAATAAAAAAACAAAAACACTAAATGAAAGGGTAACTGATACTGCTTTCAGTGTAGGTCTCTGTCCTAAAAATGGATGGCTACAAGTCAATCTGCAGGTTTTAGTTTTGAGAGGTTCATTTGACACCTGATTTAAGCTCTTTCTTCAATTTGTAGTTTTACTACAAGACATTGAACCAAGCAGAAGAAAATGACATAGGATTAGGTTCTCATCTTTTCTTTCTCTGCTTGGTTCACCGCAATGACCATTCCCAGTGTTCATCCTGTGAGCCTTGACACACACAGCCCTCAGAGCTCCTGAAGATTATCAACTGCATTTTAACATTTAAAATAAACCCTTTTCCGAACATGCCTGCGGACTTTCCAAGGGCAGGCGCCTGCAAGCACAGTCTGATCTGTAAATTTTGCTCCAGGCTGAACGATTATTGACCTGTGTGGATATAAACAGTAGGAAATTGCTGGCTGGTTACCGTACTGATTTGCATACTGCACTTTTCCTCATTGCGTAACAGAGAAAAATGCTGTCATCTCTTCTGTTTGTTTGTTGGTTCCTCGCAGTCAGTGTATGGGGTGACAGAGGAGTCTCAGCCCCAAAGCCCTGTACACATGCCCTCCCAACCTGTACGCAAAACTACAAAAGAAGATTTCCGGAAACAAGTAAGTAGATGGCTGTACAGCAACTCTGCTGAGAACTGTTACCTTGGGGGGAAAAAACCCCACGTATAAAGTTATGGAGATACCAGCAAAACCAATTCTATGCATTACCTGTCCTTGATCCTCACATACTTCATGTAAAGCAGTAAGTATGTAAAGATATATATTTATTGAGCAGTGCAGGTGTATGACGATACGCATTATGGGTGATACCTTTGAATCTAGTATTACTCTCTCTCCGGACCAGGAGATAGATTAATTTCCAAATCACTGAGGATATCTGAAGGGTGAAGACAAAGGCTAGGGAAGAAGCCAGCATACTGGGGCACAGGCTGGGGATGGGCAGTGAGGAAGGGCATCGTTTGGTGCATGATTGTTAGACCGTACAGTCAGAGCTTTTAGGGAACTGGGAAAAAGTTACTTGCAGCATCTCTCCAAGGAATGGCCAGCCCTCTTGCACATCTTTGCCCGGGCACAGGGAGCTCTCCCTCAAAATTCCTTTGCTGCAACAAGCAGCGCTCACTGAAGTACAGGCAGGAATCTGTAGGTTAGCATGTTAGTAAAGGCAGCGTTAAACATGTTTCTTAGGCAGCTTTTACAGGTTTTAGGGTGGTCTCCTGAACTAAACCTGAACACTGAATTTCTTGAGCTTTTTTCCATCACGGGCTGATGAATACTGTGAAGTACTCATGAGCACGTAGGCTGCAGACTGCTGTTGAGAACCAGTTTGTAGCAGAGTGCAAATGTGCTGTAAGAGCTTTATTGGTCTTGTGATGCCAGTCAGTTAGAGAAATGGAAGAGAGGAGCATGGTGTAAAAAGGGGATCACATTGCACCCTGAGTAGTCTAGGAACCTGGGCCCCAAATACGTGCCTTTTCTACTTTTAATGATGTCTTCTGAAGCTTCCCCTGAGCCTCTGCCATAGGAAATGGAAACTCCTGTTGGAAGCAGTTAATGAGCTTTTTCTAATACCTAGGGAAGGGTCCCATTTCCTCCTAAGTTACTTTCAAGCTTCTTTGGAAAGAGAAATCAATAGCGTGTTGGGATATGATCAATGCATGCTGTAGAACTCCTGGATTGTAAATGTCCTTGTCATCTCTCTCCTCAGATAACTTTTCTGAACGTGCAGATAGAGAGACATTGTTTAAAGATGTCCAAAGTAGCAGAAAGGTGAGTGTCCTCTTTGCATGATTTCCTCATCTCCAGTTTGGCATTGCCAGAAACAGAGAGCAGTTTAGGAACACACAAAAGCTGGTTCCTTCTTCTGAGCATCAATCCTTCCCCTTCCTTGACTGGCTGTGCTGCCTGTCTGCTGGCCACTGATGCTTCCACACTTGCTCTTCTACCAGTGGCAAACAGTAGGTGAGAAATGAGGATGTTGTTGTACTGTATAGGAAAAAGAAATATCATTCACAAAAGAACCCTTGCAGTACTTTGTTTCCCATTCCTGGACAGCCCTAGAGTTTATTTACAGAAAAGTCATTCCTGTTTCAATTTGAAAATATCTTTTTTTATCTTGTTTGCCCATGGTGTCTACGTCCATGTTCATGCTGGGGTTGCAGGGCTAATTTCTGCTCCCACTTACACATATGAAACCCTATGGGAAGTACTGAGGTTGTACCTGGACTACTCAAGGCAGTGTTTTAAGAGGTGGATTTCCACAGAGGCACATCAAGGCACAATTTGACTTGCAGAATATTTAGTTCTGGCAGGAAAGTATGAATAGGTAAAGACCAAACTCAAATTTAATTGAGAATGACAGCTCCTTTGCTTAGATACTTGTAAGTTATGCACGTTGGTAGGGGAATCGCTGAGACAAATGTAGGGATCAGCATACTCTTCAGTAACATCACTTCTAGAGCAAAACTCTGTTGAACATGAGGGACCTGATAAGGGCTGGTGCCTTGCAGAGAGATAATAGAGGAATTTTTATGTAAGCAGATTTAAAAAACCCTATGAAATGTACTTTGCAGTGTCTGCACCTGTAATTAGCGTGTGTGTACTAAACTAGGGAAATTAAATGGTGAGAGGCCAAAGTAACTTCCTATTGGCTCATAAAGTTTAATAATTAAAGTGAAAATTTATCCAATTAAATTGAAAATATTCAGAGGCTCCCTGAAATCCTGCATACGCTATATTGTACAACTGAAATTAGCACATTCATATTTATGTTTGAGGCTTTCTGGCTTGTTTTTATTAAGAAGATACATTTGTGCTTTAACAAAAAATGTCATTTTCTACTAAATTTACTAAACATTACCTTAATATACTGAGACAGTAATAATTTCCAGGCTGGTAATTTACAAGCAAGCAGGTCCGTTTTGCTTGAATTTTTTCTTGGCAAGTATTTATTCAATAAGATGGACTCAGTAAACTGCATTCACTTGTGAACATCAGGTCCTGTCCACATAACATACCTCTTGTTCAAATTCATAAGGAGATACTGACATTATAAATGCAATGTTGTCAATGCCAAAAAAAGCTATTAGTTTGCAGTAAAACTGGGCGGAGATTTTTCCTGGTTTAAAAGGGCTTGGGCTTTTTTTTTTTTTTTTTCAATTGATCCCAAGCTGGAGAAGAAAATGTTGCTATCAAAACCTGTGCAAATTGATGACCAGGAGAAACAATCAAATGATAACAATCAATTGATGATAACAATCAAAGTGTTCTTTTCTCCTGTCTTGAAAGTTTCATTTTGAAATTATAGAGAGTGAAAATCATGGTTGTGATATCTATAACTTGTGAAGAAGTGTTTGGTTATGTGATGACTTTGGGTGGCAGCGTAGCTGGAGTGTCCCAGGGCTTGGTGCAGAGAGTGGTGGGAAGTCCAGCTCAGATGTGGAGGGTCACGGAGTAGGTGGGGGGGAAATAGAGGGGCTGATGGGTCCAGTGGCCTGGCAGGGGTTGGAGATAGGTAAGGAAGAACGAGCGTGGTTGACTCAAGTCAAACAATTGCCTGAAAACCTGGTGTAAAATGCTGAATGTACACGCCAGGAACAAATCTGCTGCTCAAGGAGGTGCTGTTATTAGCAAGTCACTTTTCAGGCTGGACCCCACTTTTGGGACTAATTTAAGTGGCAGCGTGGCACATCGGGGTGCTGGAGATGACTTCTTGCCATGTTTCTTTCAACAGCCAAGCCTGACAGCAGCACCACCTGCCATTGTTACCGTACAGTGCAAGGCACCTCCAGGCAGGACAAGGGCAGTCACAAGGAGGAAATAAGGCAGGGGGTGGTGGGGGAAACAATCTGCTGTCTAATCTGTAAGAGGGGTTATTTTAATAGTGATAGGCAAATCGCATACATTTTCCATGAATGCATCCTGTTCTATGGGATGGCCCTTGTCCAGCAGAAGAGGAAAGGAAAGACTCTCAAAAGATTAACTCCAATGAAATAAATGCCAACAACAAAAGATTTGCTCCCCCCAGTTCCCCTTCCTGGAGCAGATCTGCACCAACTGCAGGAGCAGGCATCCCTCCGCTGCGCCAGGCACCTTGGAAACTGCCAGCTTTCTCCTCCTTTCTTCCACATCCTTTCTCCCCACTCGGGACCTGCACACTGCCAGGTTTAGGATTTGGCAATGAGATTTGAGAACTATTGAGCAAACTGTCACTCTATTATACCTACTGTTTTCCCTGACTGCACTGTTCAGTGTTGGTGCAATCCCAGTGTGATGCACCACAGAAATGGCTGGGGAAAACTTGAGCAATCTCGGCTCCGCAGATGAAAACATGTCACAAATCTGTGTTATCCTCTCAGCTTCCCAAAGTCTTTGTGAAGGCTCAGCAGGGCCCCTGCGTTGTGAGACAGTCAGGCTCGCAAGGCGAGCTCTGCGCCCTTTGGTAAATTCTTCCCACCACCTCTCCTGCCAGAATTACATTGCATCACCTGAAAGGCCAGAAGTCCAGGTGTGCATTTTGACAGAATTGCTTTCCCTCAGGAGTCCCCTGCCTGTAGCCTTCTTTAGACAATGAAGCAGTGATTCTGCTGCTGTCGTTACACTGAATCAGCAAAATGCATTTAGCAATTCCCCCTTGTTTTAGTTAATTTAGTTTTTTCCCCTTTTATTTTTGCTACTACTTGTATTGGCACCTCTGATGCCTTCTTAGTATTTTATTAGGAGCAATTCAAGTTTCACAGCGGATGTCTCCTGATTGATCCTTCCAGTGGGGGTTTTTTTTAACCAACCCTCTCTCTCACTGATGTCTCAGGGATTGCTGCTGCTCTCTGAAATTGGACGCTGCTCCCTCCTCCAACCCTTGACCCACAGCAGTCATGAAATGTAATTAATGAAATGAGACGAGACAGCCCCAAGTGCCCTGAGGGGCAATGGGAACCTGCTGTGGTTACAAAAGTGTATGATTTTAATGCCTCATGATAAGAGCTAGGACAAACAAAAAGAAATAATTACTGTAGAGCGGGTCAGGGGAACTTTCTGCCTTTTGTGACCCTTTGTTTCACAGGGTCTTTTCATTCTTCTGTCTTTTTGAGGTATGGAAGACAGAGGTAAAGTTTAGCATGGACAATCACGCTGCAAGTAGATTAGTTGTTCAGTATGATGAGCCTCAATTAACTTAGTTAATTACTTGGCAGACCTAGGCAAAAAAATTAAAAAGTGCCTTAGAGTATTTCCCATATAGACTAGGACAAATTTCTTTTGATTTATTTTATACATGCTGTCTTTCTTTTGTGAAAATGCGCCCCTAGCCCCAACCCCAGTGGAATTCCTGAATCACTTATGCAAGCAGACACAGTCCTTTTCCCAGGAAGCTCTTTGAATCTCGTCCTAGTGAGGATTAGAGGCTATGTGTCTTATCTGACTCGACATGAAGCAAGCCAGTATAAAGGCCAGGTGTTTTTCCAACATGCATATCATTTACTACATTCTAAGTTAATTATTATAAAGGACTGTTGAAGTATTTTACAATAGTGCCATTAGACTAAATGGCATACCAATGTTAAAAAAAAAATAGAAAAAGAAAATTATCTATAGCCTGAAGCTTTCATGCTCAGGACTGTGATCCTCCAAAGATTTAAGTATATTCTTAGCTACTGCACATGACCCTATTTAGATGAGTTACTCATAATGCATAAATTTAAGTGTCTGCAAAAAACAAAAAGGCAAGGAGCAACAGCAACATGCAAAAAATGAAGAGGAAGGCATGTGCTTCATAGTCATCCCATGGCTCTCTGGGGATGCCCCACCATAGCAATCCAGTTGGTGTCTCACTGGGCTTTTTGTGAGCATCTCAGCAGTGACGAGCTTGAGGAAAATACTGCAGTGAGCTGGTGGGTGTTTGCAGAGAAATCCTTGCATGCACCATTCCTGGGAAAAGGGACTCCTGTGGTTGCTGGGAAACTGACCAATCCCTATAAAAATTAAAAAAAAAAAAAAAAAAGCAAAGCTGTACCTCTCTGACATGTGACGGAACACTCAGGCCCTGATTCTTTTTTTTTTTCCTCTTTTATTTTGTTTTTTCCTTTTTTATATCTGTCAGTTTAATAGCATACACAGAGCAGTATGTGGAATATGACCCCTTTATAACTCCTGCTGAGCCTTCCAATCCCTGGATAAATGATGATACAGCATTGTGGGACATTGAAATGAGGTAAGAATTGGTAGTTTTAAGTAATGTTAAGAGTTGTCTTGCCATTTTGTTTGAATGCTTTTCCCACTGCCCTGTTTGGGTAGGAAGTTGGATGTCTGTGACTTTACAAGACACAAGTACATGTCTGAAGCTTAAACAGGAGCTCATGCCTTATTACTTCTTCTGTGAATTGTTCAGCCCTTACACTTCCATAAGTCCTATGGATGCGTGGTACTCTGTACGTCTGGTAGCAGATGTTCTCACACCTGTCAAGGACATGCACAGACTCAGGTCTAAGAGTCCACAGATACAGGGTACTGCTAAGAGACACTTGTTCCAGCACATCTCCTCTGACCTTTGAGAGCCTGCCCTCTGGTCCTCCCCCAGCTGCAGTGCTCCAGCCCTGCTCCTGTCCCAGGATCCCATGAAAGATGTCGCTGGCAGGAGAGGATGGGTTACAGGGCAGTGGCTGTTCCCCCTACGGAGAAGTGGATTGGGCACAGGAGCCAGAGAAGTGTAGGGGACACATAATGTGTGAGACTTGGCAGGTCAGAATTCTAATAGGTTGACCAAGTGAGATTGGTCCTTATCTGTTAGTGAACAAGCTGGCTTGTCTGTGTTATGGTGTCTAATAGATGAAAAGGAGGAGTAGGAATGACTGTAGAACCTGCAATGCCATGCACCTCAGAAAGTTTCTCAAAAAAACCCAAGCACAGCACTGCAACTCAGATCATCTTTTGCCCATCTGATTCTGGTGTAAGGGAAGTCTGGCCAGTGTCTACATCTCTTGCTATCACAGGCTATCCACAGCCCTCGTGGTGGGGCTAGGATTCACCTTCGTACTCACTCACGTCTTGTGGCCAACTTCTGCAAGTGCTCAGGAGCTTCTCCTAGCTGTTTAGCTGCTGCTATTGGACACCAAATCTGAACTGGAAGTTCACTTTAGCAAGTCTTTGAAAGGAGAATGCCATATCCAATCCTGTCTGTTCTTGAATAATAATGTAAAGTTTAAGATGCTACCAGCCTAAATGTTCCAGGAAAAGGGCAAGTTATTTCCTTGTTAAAAACCCGCGTGGTCTGGGATGTGAAAGATGTTTTCTCCTGCTTCTCTGGTAGTCACAGAGATCCGTTAGTTCCCTTATCTCTGCCCCTCTTCACATAATTTCAATATTTTGGGTTTCCTTTTTAGGCAGTTTCTCTCATTTCCTCTGCCCTCCCTAGCAGGGTCAAAGCCAGATACAGCCCCTGCAGAATACTTCTCTGGAGGAACCCCCACCCACACGGTAATCCAGGCATCTGTTTTTTCTGCATCTGCTGAGGTAGCTGCAAATCCCAGAAAAGATGTCTGTGTCCCTGAAGAATACAATTAACCTAATGTCACGGCCTTTGCAGGAATTTAAAATAAATGCTTGGCTTCTGCTATGATTTCAGAGTTAAGAAAGGTGATTTTCCTGCAGATTGAAAAAAGAGAAAGTTGTATTGTTGGGAGGCTGAAGAACAAACAGCTCTGTATCACCATTTTATTCTCTATTGTAAGAGAACTCACTGCATCTGCATCCGGTTGCAACTTGCATGAATAATTAAATGGTCCCCGAGAGCGGCGGTAGCCCTTGTGTTGCCTGCAAAGCTGTTCCCTCAGTTAGGAGAGCAGAGAGCCCTCTCCCAGGAAAACAAAGGGCATCTCACTTGTAATGGTGAGGCTGGCTGCTGAGTGTGGACAGCCCTGCACCATTGCAGCTCGGGAAACGCTGTGGAGAGCCTTCTGTTTTAGACAGCACTTTGGGCTTTTTGTTGGTGCTAGAACATTGTGCGGCACCGAGAAGAGCCACTGCAGGTCTTGGGACACAGTAGGAAGTTCTGTGAGTAGCTCTGCACAAACGTGGATGTCGTGTCCCCGTGTCTGGGTGGGCTCACCTCACAGGTAGGCTGGCATCTGCACCCTTCTCTGGCTCCTGCGTGAGCAGAGGAGAAGCCATCCCGAGTGCTCTGCACTTCAAGTGAGGACATGCCCATCAGTTTTGCTTAGTCTTTACACCGAGAGGAAATGGAAGCGGGCATTTTATTTACCCCTTTGGCTTATTTGTCTTCAGCACAGATCGCCACTGTCCCCTAAGGCTCCAGGATTAGGAATCACTGTGGACGTGACAAGACATGTAGTTTAATAGATATGTACTGTTAACAATGGCTCCGCTGTCACAAATGTGAGCAGCTGAGCTGTGTTTTAATGGTTGTCTCATGGTGTGACGCCATCACACCAGAAGCTTTCAAGCACTTTGTGAGCCCAGATTAGGCTCTGATGCGGACTGTCTCGTAGGATCCTCATTGCAATTCCCAGGCACTGCCTCTCCCCATAGGCAGCTCTGCAACATGTCTGGCAGTTCAAACAACAGCTTATGTAAGTGGGATTGTATTAAGAAATAATTTAGGAGAAAGGTTGTTAGTGATTTTGTGTGCCTTTGCATCTCAGTGTCCCAGCTGAGACACAAAATAAGAGTCTGATTAACATGGAGGGGAGGAGGGAGATGCTTTTTAGTCTTCCAAGTCTTAGGCGTCTAAAAATCAGAGGCACTGAAAAATGAAAGACCACAAACCAGTAATCATTATTAGAAATCTTGTCTGCATTGCTTCTTAGTGAAACTGCTTTTTTTAATGCAAATGTGGACCTGAAAATCTGAAGCCAGTTCCAAGTGACCAGCCAGCACTGTGTGGGACACAAGGAGATGCTCTGGAGCTCACCAGCAGCCCAGGGAACACTGCTGGGAGGTTTCTGCCTTGACATATAAGAAGTTCCCAAGGTATACTTGAGGACGTATATAAGAATTATATAGTGAATAATCATTCAACTGTGGTATGCTGTCCTTTACATGAAACCTACCAGAAGTTACTCTGAAAATCGTATTGTTCACTGTGTATCTCATTTTGCCATGTTCGTAGCACCCAGGTAGTACAATTGACTTAAAGATGACCCTACCCTAGTCTTTATAGCTTCTTTTTGTGTGTTATTTGCTAAGATTTATTTTTGCAAAATCTTTAGAAAAAAAAACCCACCATCTCCTCATCTGATAATCTTCCTCCCTTTGCTGCTTAGCAGAAACAGCAGCAGCTGCTTGGACAGCAGGCAGAAATGCACATTCCATCTGTTTTTTCCCTTCTCTCTCCAAACAGCAAAGAACCAAGTCAGCAGCGTGTGAAAAGATGGGGTTTCTCCATGGATGAGGTGCTGAAGGACCCAGTAGGACGAGACCAGTTCCTTCGTTTCCTGGAATCAGAATTCAGCTCGGAAAACCTCAGGTGAAACCTTTTTTGACTTGAACTAAATGAACGGGGCTAATCCTACTGTCTTGCAGAGGTGAAATGCAATGCTTGGTCTGTCTTCAGCTACTAAAAAGCCATCCATTTCAATAAAGCTGAGAAGGGCAGGATTTGGTCCATAGTGGTGTTGTGGATGCCCATACAAGAAGTATGTAAGTAACCTCAGGAGCAGTGTTCAGCAGAGGCAGGGTTGTTAAGTGTCCCACGTAAAGGCTTGCAGAGTTGCAGTACGGTGATGAGGCATGGCATACTGCTATTAAGCCCCCTAACAATATGTAAGGTTTACTCGTGTATTTGTGGCAGCGTGGTGTGAGGAAAACATAGTATGGTGATCATGGCGGCTGAAAACTGTTGCACTGTTTAGTGGCACTCAACAAATTGGATTTGCAACAGCTACTTTTAATTCTGACACCTCCTAACTGTTCAAGAGCTTGGCTCTCACCTTAATAGCACTGTCTGTGTGTGGGGATTCGGAGTACCTGGCTTCTTATGTTGAGAAAAAGGCAAAACTTACATTATGAGATATTATGTAGGGGACCCTGCATCAGACTGAAGAGTCCATACATCTATTATGCACAATTGTCCTACTTCAGCTACAGCAGGAATAGGCAGCAGTAATAAGTTGCCATTTGTAGGTGAACCAACACTAGATGAAGACAAAACCTCTCCTAGAAGATCCAGCCCCTCTGGCCTTGTCCATAACACTCTTCTAAACCCACTCTCTGGCCCTAGCACATTGCTCCAAGACACAGCCTCATTGCAGAGTCGATGAAAAGACATTGGAAGTGCCAACAGCACGCTTCCTTCTGGGGTAGCAATCCTTCAAAGAGTATGCCTTTCTCTTCAGCCCTTCCAGCTACAAAACTAAGTGCTAAACTCGGCACCTTAGGACTCTTTAGTCACCCTTACATACCTGAGAACTAATGTATTAAGCCGTTTACCCTTTTTGATACCAGGTATCTTCTCACACTGACAGAGAGAGAGGTCTAGCTAGATATCTCCCATAGACCTTAAGCTAGACCCACAGCCCTGCACACATTGCAAGGATCCAACGCCTCTGCTTGTCCTAGCATTAATCAGGATATAGCCACGGGTTTTATCATCCTTGTTTTGAATCTTAACTCTAATTCCAACCCTTACCCTGAAGTTCATTTTAGGAAAGCAGCTCTCCTCCTGTGGAGAGGGTGAGGTCCGCGGAAGAGTTGCATTGCTGTATCCTGCAGATGCAGCCAGACCACAACAGGTCCCATAAAAGCAGAAGAAAATATTCTCCAGTGAGCTCTGAGAAACTGAGGTTCCAAGAATTACGCTTGAAACAGGGCTGGGGCAAACACTGGAATTAGGGTTCAGGATGAATGCTAGCTTCATTGCTTGGTGCTGCAAAGTCCAAAGAGAACAGGAGAGGGCTTGTGCCAGCCAGAGAGGCAGCCTGGACAGGTAGAGGTTGATACTCAGTGGGTGAGGTTATGGTTCAGGCTCTCACCTGGACCCCACAAACAGCCAGATTTACTGCCACATTCACCTGTTTGTGTGGGAGCAGGGAGTCGGTGGCTGGCGGTCGGGGTTGGCAGCAGGGCAGGCCAGGGTTTGAGTTGGTGTCAGGGTGTCAGTCGGTGCTCTTGTACTCTTACATGTAGGGTCCTTAAACTCGCTCCTTAAGTGAGGTACAGCAGGTCAGAGGCACTTCACAGGTATCTGCGATGGTCCTCACCTCCCCCTTCTCCTGGTTAGTCCTGGAGACACAGAAGGATGCAGCAGTAACATGACTGCCCCAGGTATTGGTGGTATCCAGTACCAAAATGCTTTTTTACACAGTCTGAATAACACTGCAGAGGCTTCATTGTGGTGCCATCTCAGCACGTGGATGGGTGCGGGGACCTGCTCATGAGTTTTGTTTGGGGGTGGTCCTGTTCAGTGGTGGTTGGCCCTGGAACAGCCAGAGAGCTGGTGGTTTCCCTGGCAGAACCGTGCCTGCTCCAGGGGTGAGGAAATCTGCTCTCCACTGAACATGTGGGTTAGGTGCCTTTGCTGGTAGTGGTGGGTTTGATGTTGTTCTCAGTTTACACCAGCTAAGAACTTGATTGCACAGCCTTCTACTTTGTGTTTCGTTATCTTTTTTTTTTTTTTTTGTCAATTTACACCAACTAAGAACTTGATTGCACAGCCTTCTAGTTCGTGTTTCGTTATTTTTTTTTCCACTTAGAAAATCCAAATACATTGCTAAAGCATGTGAACAATTGCTAGTTCAGTGCAGGCTGCTGGCCTGGGAGATCTGAAAGGGAAATCCCAGAGAGTGCCTTTAGACAACTCTGGGACTGACCACCGTGTGTGTCGTATATTTTCCATCTGAGAAGAAATACAGAAAGCTTCCCAGCAGCAAAACAGTGAAAAACCAACGCACCTTTGTGTTTGTCATTTTTAAAAATCTGAAAGTTACTTGCAAGCTAAACAAGAGAGTGTTACTAAATGACGTAAATGAGCCTGACAATTTGGCACTGAGCAGGTACTGAACCTGTACATAAGTACAGTGGTGCTTATTTGCAATTAAATTACAGTAATGAAGTACAAAGTTAACATCCTGTATTTAAATACTCCTCAAATGTTTGGTTTTTTTTTTTTTTCTGAAATATGGCTGTGGTTGCAGTAATGAAGTCCAACGGGTTTTATGACTAGAGGGTGTCCCCCATGTTCATCCTCCTCAGGCACATGGAGAAAGTTTCTCTGTTAGAAAGCAAACCTGTACCTTCCTCCATCAGTCAGGGCTGCTCCTCCTGCTGGGGTGTGTTCTGTCTGGTTTTGAGATGTCTTGTAGCAAAGGGAGGCTGCAAATCAGGATAGAGGGGTTAAATCCCACATCCTTTTTGGAAAACACTGGTATCATTATAGTTAATGTGGTAGCATTGCTATCATTCTTATGGTATCTTTACCATGGTATTGGCTTATATGGTATCGTCATTACCTAGTTTGGGATCAGAATTGGCAAGCCTGGTTAAAGCTTTAAATAACACCAGGACGTAAAGGCAGAAGTATTCAGGAAGAAAACTGGAATAGGAGGATTGTTAGCAGGGGTGCTGGAGAGCAAAAGGTGGCTCTTGGGTTCAGGTGTGGCAGGGAAAGCTCCTAAATTCTCATGAGGAGTGTGTGGCAGAAGGAAAAGCAACTGCTGGATGCTTAAACGTACAAGCAAGATTTAAGTTACCCCCAACAGCAAAGTTGGGATCTTTCTCACCAAAGTTGGCAGCTTGGAAGCACATGCTTCTTCCCTATCATCCAGGCTTCCTTTAGAATGAGAGAAGAGAAGCTGAAGAGGAGTCAGTGGGAAGGAGAGTCAGGAGTCACCAGGGAAGGATTTGGGTCAGCTTTAAGATGAAACAAAGCTGAATGCACCAAACCTACACTGTAAAGTGCCCGTCTCTCTCTACCATCTCTAAGCCTGATCCAAGTGACAGTGTCTGCATGGTAGACACCTGCAGTTAAGTGAGGTGCCTCCCACCTAACCCCTGGGAAGCTGTAAGGAACTTTCGAGGGCACCTTGCTAGTAAAATTAGATTTGCAGATGTCTTTTAAGGACTCTTCTCCCAGTAACTCTGTGGAGATGTGGGAACTGTTGCAGCGGAGATGTGTTCTCTCTTGGGAACATCAGTATGATCTTCACTAACACTGGCAGGAGTCCCGTAGGCCCCTGTGTTGTCCTCAGGGCAGATCTGAGAAAGCGAGTGCTGGAAAACCTAGAAATTCCTGGTAGTGCTAGGAGAGAGATAGTATGAAGTGTGCAGTTGAGAATGCCTTGAAACGAGCGTAATTCAGTGGTAGAGCAAGGGGAACAAATTCTGCTCTTGGACCCAGTGGTGGAAGTCCCAAGTCACGCGGTTGATTGTGGTGGGGTATTTCCATATCTTCCTTGCTGAGAAAAATTGGTCCCGCTGGGGGTCTGGAGTGAAGCACTGCCGGAGATAGCAGCAGACTAGACTCAGTGACCTCCCGGGTCTCCTTCCAGCTGTGTTTCTGTGTTCTAATAAACTTGCAGGATCATGTCCACCAGTCTCCTGGGCTCGGCTGAGCTCTGTAACTTATTTATTTACTGGCTGTCCATTATTTATGTGAGAGCAGGAAAGCCAGTCAGTTGGGTATTTTTCTCTCTGTTTTTATTTTAACTCTTTTTCTTGCTCTCTTTCCTTTCTCCTCTCTGTTGCTATCTTTCATCTGCAATTTGTTTTGACTCTGTTGATTTTTGAAGTACCCAAAATACAGCAGACGAAATGCCAAGCTTCAATTAGAAACAAAAAAAGCCAACAGAGAGTTGTCATACATTTTTTATGACCTGGAAATCTCATGAGACATCTCGAGATTGCTGAGATGTTCATCTAACTGATGGATTGATTTTTTTTTTTTTTTTTTCCCCCCAACTTCAAAGAGTGTCAGCTGGAAAGAGAAACAACTAAGTGGGAATACGGGGCATGGGAATTTTACCCGAAGGGAGAGGAGGCTGCACACCTGTTTATAGACCTAAATGGAGAACACATGATGCTTTATGGGAATGCACTGTGAGGCTCGCAATGCACGGATACAGGCATTTTGTGCGTTATTGTGAACATACGTTGAAGATTGAGTTATCCGGAAAAGAATTTTACCTGCAGAAAGTGTTTATATTGTATACAACCCCTAATGGCTTAAACTTGTTGCCAATTTTTGTTTTGTTTTGTTTTCTTTAGTTTTCATCAGGAAGTGAGAAGTTTGGGCACTGAGGAGAGCAGATAGATTAATCACACCCCACCACAGCCCCCTCCTCTCTAAGACAAAAAGCTTTTACAGGGGAAGTTTCCCACCTCTCCCAAAGCCTCCAGAACGGCAGGCACAGGACTCTGCATTGAGCTGTTGTTGCTTGGTGTCCGGTGCGAGGGGTGACCCCGGGGGGGGTGCTGGGGGGTGACCCCAGAGGGATGCTGAGGGGTGACCCTGGGGGGGTGCTGAGGGGTGACCCCAGGGGGATGCTGAGGGGTGA